TCTACCTCTCCCATGTACTACAGAATAGTCCAGTACTCTCAGTAGACTCTCATTAGCAAATACCAACAAGTTGTGTGGGGGGATGTGAAAAGGCAAGATGCCACACCACCTCTTTCTGCTTCATGGAGATCAGTCTTCTCTCAGATTTGCTGTTTTGTTATTCCCTCTAAAATCAACAACCATTAAAGAGGGGTCAAGTCTCAGGTGGATGGGTGAGTGTGGGCCAAGGGGCCAAGGGGAAGAATACTAGATTCTAGTCATACTCCTACAGTAGAGTAATGGAAGAGGTAAGCCAGCTCTGGAATGCTCAGTGGTGGAGGAGGGCCTATGCACTCAGCAGCAGTGCTCAGGCATGTGGTCTTGTGGTAGGGAGAGGGGATGGTGGTGCTCAGGTCCAGCCTGTTCTGCCCAACAGCAGAAGGCTAAAATGGAGAAAGCAGGCAATGAGTGTGGGGTTTCTTCAAACCAAGTTTTTGAGACCTCATTTTCCAGCAGAGTCTGGAGAGGAGTTGTTCTTTCTAGGCAAGGTAACATCATACATCAGTTATCTCATCTCCTAGCTCTGCATCTTCAAGCTTTGCCAGGTTTTTCTCCTCTGAGGTCACATTGTGTAACAACTGGGGTAGGAACTGACAGTTCTCCATGAGAATCTTGTGGTGGGTTGTGGCAGCTGAACTGCCACAGACAGCAGTGTAAACAGCTGACACAGATTTCCTTGTTTGGCTTACTATCCTCCAGGGCAGTGACATGCAGAAGAAAACTGTTTCCTGGAAAGAAGCTTCCTGCATTGGGGACACAGTTGCGGTTATAGCAGCTCTGAGGCACAAAGAGGTCAGATCCTTCAGGTGAGCAACTCATGGTTGCTGTCTTGATGTCCTTGTACAACTAGTCAGTGAAGATGCATAGTTGTTCACAGTCCTAAAGCTTCAGCTCCAGCAAATCACAGACATGGACCCTCTGACTCAGGGAGCTGGCTCCAATTCCTTGACCGTTGGTCCCAACAAGAGCAAAGAAGGGCTGGAATCCATCTGGAGTAGACTCTTGACCCAGTGCCTCTTCACGAAGGACCTCTGTGAACAGCCTCCACAGAAGTTCCAGTTTGCCCTTAAATTTGTCACCCAGGCATTGGGTGATAATTTCCTTTTCCTCCTTGGCTATTTTGCTACAGAACTGGGGGAAGTGCTTGACCCACTGGTCTTTGTTCCCACTGTACAGTTCCAGGTGGGACAGTACCTGGCCCGGTTTCCCAGTTAGCCTCTGGGCATTCTCCTCTGCCTTATTCAGTACCTGAAGGCAGTGCTCACTAGTACAATAGTGATAAAGTGCATTCTAGAGAAACTGCATAGTGACCTGGGGCCTTCCAATAAAGATGGCCTCAGGTGTGTGGCAAAGAGACCCTTTCTCTTGGCGTTGCTCATGAAATGGACTTTCATTGCACCATGGGTCTAGCCGTGCATGCCCATGCAGGAAGACAATATGATGCATGTGGAGTCAGCCATCTTGGGTCTCTCTCAAATTACATTCTCTTGTATTCCTTATTCTTTCTTGCTTCTTTCTTTTTTTGGGGGGGGGGATCTTTTTGAGACAGAGTCTCCCTGTAGCCCCAGCTGATCTGGAATTCACTGTGTAGACCAGGCTGGCCTTGAACTCACAGAGATCCACCTGCCTCTACCTCCCTAGTGCTGGGACTAAAGGTATGCACCACCAGGCCTGGCTCTTTCTTGCTTCTTTCATTGTTACAATTTCCAGGGAGTAGATGAATTAAATAATCTATTTAATACATGCTAATAGATCTCTTAAGTCTCACTCCATCTCTCTATTGCT